GGCGTTTCCTCGGACGACTTTCTGGGGCCTCTTGGTGCATCGAACCGCCGAAATGGCGGGAAACGCAAAGGGTGTAGCAGTAAACAATGGACAATTAACGATTTTTGCCAGCTGGGGCTCTCTTGCCATCTTGGCCCGTCTTCAGGCCCCGACCGGGCGCGTCCTTGGGCCGTCCTGGGCCCACCCTCCTGGGACCGTCTTGGAGTCGTCCTGGGCCGCCTTGAGCGCGCCTTGGGCCGTCCTGGGCCCGTCTGGGGCCGTGTTGGCACCCTCGCGGCGAGGAAGCTCGGAGGCGGGCTCGAGGCCTCTTTGGGGCAATTTTGGAAGCTGTTGGGGCCTCTGTTGGGGCCTCGTTTGGGCTCCTTGGGAGCCTCCTGGGGCCTCTTCGGGGGATTCTTGGCGGCCCCTTGGGGTCTCTTGGGGGCCTGTTTGGGCCTCCTGGCGCCCTCTTGGGGCGGAAGGCTCGGATTTTCGGTCCGTGGTCCCCCTCTTGGCCTCCTCTTGGGCCTGTCTTCGGGCCCTCGTGGGCCGTCTTGAGCGTCTCTTGGGTCGTTTTGGGGCCCTCTTGGGCTGTCTTGGGGCGCTCTTGGAAACCTCTTGGGCCGTTCTGGGGCGCTCTTGGAGGCCTCTCGGGCCGTCTTCGAGCGTCGGAAAGCGGAAAAGGCGAGAAGGCCAACATCCTTCCAAAACCGTCGTAAAGCGGATGATTTTGAGGCCCAAAACCGTTCAAAACCTCCTGAGGCGGTCCCCTCATCCGCCCCCCTCGGTTCGAAGCAGTTTTACCTAACAGCGTAGACTGGTAGGTTTCTAGTGGGCTAAAAACAGCTCACAGATCACTCCACAGGGGGGTCCGGGCAGGTGTTGGGAGTTGCCGGGCGGGTTGAGTCCACCTCGTTTTTCACCAACAGTCACACACTTCGTGCTCTTCGAGTTCCCAGAACTCCATTTCCCAGGCTCATGTCTGAATAACCGGATGCAACAGTCACACACTTCGTGCTCTTTTCGAGATCCCAGAACGCCATTTCCGGGCCACCTTTAGAATAACGATGCAACAGTCACACCCACTTGTGGCCTCTTCGATTTCCCAGAACTCCATTCCCGGGCCACATTTAGAATGCCCGGAGCCAACTGTAGGCCACTTCGTGGTCTTCGAGTCCCCAGAACTCCATTCCCGGGCCACATTTTGAATGCCCGGAGCCAACTGTAGGCCACTTCGTGGTCTTCGAGTTCCCAGAACTCCATTCCCGGGCCACATTTTGAATGCCCGGAGCCAACTGTAGGCCACTTCGTGGTCTTCGAGTTCCCAAGACTCCATTCCCGGGCCACATTTTGAATGCCCCGTAGCCAACTGTAGGCAACTTCGTGCTCTTCGACTTCCCAGAACTCCCATTCCTGGGCCACATTTTCAGCAGGGGCAAGAGCACGACGAGGAGGAGGACGAGCAAGACCAGGAGGACGAAGACGAGCAGGAGCAGGACGAGGAGCAGGAGGAGCAGGAGAAGAAGGACGAGCAGGAGGAGGAGGAGGACGAGCAGGAGGAGGAGGACGACCAGGAGGAGGAGGACGACCAGGAAGAGGAGGAGGAGGAGGAGGAGGGGAGGGGGAGGAGCACCAGGAGGAGGAGGAGGAGGAGGAGGAGGAGGAGGAGGAGGAGGACGAGGACGAGGAGGAGGAGGAGGGGGGGGGAGAGTACCAGGAGGAGGAGAACGAGGACCACCAGGAGGAGGAGGAGGAGGAGGAGGAGGAGGAGGAGGAGGAGAGAACACCAGGAGGAGGAGGACGAGCAAGACGAGGAGGACGAGAACGAGGACGACCAGGAAGAGGAGGAGGAGGAGGAGGAGGGGAGGGGGAGGACTACCAGGAGGAGGAGGAGGAGGAGGAGGAGGAGGAGGAGGAGGAAGAGGAGGAGGAGGACGAGGAGGAGGAGGAGGAGGAGGACGAGGAGGAGGGGGGGGGAGAGCACCAGGAGGAGGAGAACGAGGACCACCAGGAGGAGGAGGAGGAGGAGGAGGAGGAGGAGGAGGAGGAGGAGGAGAGAGCACCAGGAGGAGGAGGACGAGCAAGACGAGGAGGACGAGAACGAGGACGAGCAGGAGGAAGAGGAGGAGGAGGAGGAGGAGGAGGAGGAGGAGCAGGAGAAAGAGGAGGAGGAGGAGGCAGGCTGAGGCTGAGGCTGTGACTGCGACTGCCGTTGCCGCTGCGACTGTCATCGCGAATGCGACTACGACTGCGAGAACAGCAGAATTCGACAACTGGATTTTTATCTGAATCTTAAGGGGAATGCTTTCAGATATGCTTCTACACATCGCTGTTAGGTTGCTTTGCCGGGATAATTTAAGCCCCGTGGCACCTCTTGGGGACCTCTTTTGGGCTCCTGGGGGCCTCTTGGGCCTCTCTGGGCCCGTCTATCGCGCCCCTTGGGCTGTCTTGGGGCCCCCTACTAGGGCCTTCTTGGGCGGTCCTCGGGCCGTCTTGGAGCCATCTTGGGCCGCTCTTCGGGCCATCTTGGGGTCCCGTTGGCCTGTCTTGGGCGCCTCTGGGGCCGTCCTGGGGCCGCCTTGGACCGTCTTGGGGCCCTCTTGGACCGTCTTGGGGTCCTCTTGGGGACCTCTTCGACCGTCTTGGAGCGGTCTTGGATGCCTCTGGGGGGGGTTCGGAGCGTCGGGAAGCCGAAAAAGCGAGGAAGCAAAAAACATAGGAAAAACACATGAAAATCAACGATTTTGGCCTCTCGGGGCTCTCTTGGGAGGCCTCTTGGGAGGCCTATTGGGCCGTCTTGGGGAGCTCTTGGGCCGTCTTGGGCCAGTCTTGGGCGTCTTGGCTGGATCATTGCGCGTCTCGGGGCCCTCTTGGGCCGCCTTCGGGGCATCTTGAGCGGCTCGGAGCCGTCTTTGGGCCGTCGGGGCGGCCTCCGGAGCGTCTCGGAGCCGATTCTAGTCATTTGGGTGGATTTCCTTCCGGCACGCGGTTCCTCCCGCCATTGTAGTAGAGATGACGTTGGGCTCCAGCTTCGCTCAGCAGCGCAAGTGCCCGCTGCCGCTGCTCGCCCTTCTCGCACGCGCTGATCCCAGCGTTGTAGCTGACTAGTGTGAACCCGTGGAAAATCCACGGCCCGCAGGTCCAGGCGTTGGTCCCGAACGCGCACGTGTCGGAAGCGCTGGAAGCGTCGAAAGTAATGTGTGTTTGCTAATCGCGCGAGGCGCGGGCGCGATTAGCAGCAACACGTAGGTTTTCAGACACAATCAGAGTAAGGGGGCCCGAATGATCTTACAGAGTCCCTGTGCGCGAGAAGTTCGATGTGGGGGGTGGACGCGTGGGGGCCAGAGTTGGGCGTTACGTTGGGGGGCCTCGTTTGAGGGCCACGTTGGGGGGTCTCGTCAGGGGGTCATGATTGGGGCAACGTTCGCGGCCCTGCCGGGGGCCATGTTTGGGGGCCGCGTGCGGGGTTCGGGGGCACATGTGACGGTCGCGTTTGAGGGTGTGGGGTTCGGGGGCAGATGTGACGGTCACGTTTGAGGGCAATGGTTGGGGGCTGTGTGTCTAGGGGCCACGTTTGGGGGCGCCTGGGGGCTACGCGTGGGGTTGACGTTCGGGGGCCACGCTTTCTGGGGCGGTAGGGGCGACCTTCGGAGGCTTTGTGTGGGGGCCGCCTTTGGGGGTCCCGTTTGGAGGCCACGCGTGGGGCCGACGTGTAAGGGGCCACACGTCCAGGGGCGATCTCAGAAAGCAGTCGGGGAGCCCCGGGAGCACTGACCTGGAAGCGTGAAAAGGAATCGGTTTTTGCTAATCGCGCTGGGACTGTGCGCGATCCCCCCAATCTCAAGGCATGGTCCACGGGGCCCTCGAGGCACGTCTCCGGGGCATTTCGAGGCCGTCGTGGGCCTCTGGCCGGATCGGCTTCGGCTCTCTTGGACGTCTTTGGGGCCCTCTTGGAGCGATGTGGGGGTCCGGGAGCCGTCGGGGAGCGTTCCAGGGGCGTCCTGGGGGCGTCGGGGAGCGGCTCAGAGCTCTGGCAGGTCGAAGCCAGCAGAACCGAGAGAGCAGCGGTGAGGCCCCCATTACAGCCAAGGGTGCGGGCGCTGGTATACGTAGGGTCCCCGAACTGGCTGTAGTGGCCTGCGGGCAATCTCGCCGAGGGCCTGGGTAGTGGGTAAGAGATCTTGTGGATGTTGGTTAGGATCTCGTGGTTGGCCTCTCGGGAGCCTCTGGGAGACAGTTTGGGGGCTTCTTGGTAGTAGTTCTGGGGCGTCTTGGGGCATCTTGGGCCCTCTTTTGGGCCCTCTTGGGAGCCTTTTGGGGCGCTTGGCGGCCTCTGGGGGCCTCTTGGAGCCTCTGTGGGGCGTCCTGGGGCCTCCTGGGGATGTCTTGGGAGCGTCCCGGCGTTTCTTTGGGGCGTATTGGGGCTTCCTGTGGGCCTCTTGGGGTGGAGGCCTCGATTTTTCGGTTCTGGGTCCCTGTCTTGGGCCTCTCTTGGGGCCTTCTTGGGGCCCTCTTGGGCCGCCTTGGGCGACTCCTGGGCCTTCTTGGGGCCCTCTTGGGACGTCTTGAAGGCCGTCTTGAAGGCCTCTTGGGCCGTCTTGGAACGGTCTTGGGGGCCTCTTGGGCGGTCTTGGAGCGTCGGAAAGCCGAAAAAGCGAGAGAAGGCCAGAAACATCAAAAACAAAAAAACTATTTTGGCTGCTGCGGCCCCTCTTGGAGGTGCACTTCGAGCGCTCTGGGGGCCTCATGGAGGCGTCTCGGGCCGTCTTGAAGGCGTCTTGAGCCCATTTTAAGCGTCTCGGATACACTCTTGGACCGTCTTGGGCCGTCTTCGGGACCTCCTGAGGCCGTCTTGGGGCGATCTGGGAATCCTGGATCAGTCCGCGAGCGGTCCGGGGGCCTCCCACGCCCGTCGGGCAGCGGCCCGGAGGCTCTCCGGGCGGCCCGCGAGCTCTCTGGGCGGCCCGGGGCGCTGCCACTGCTGGTACTTCTCGCGCGCGCTTCGCCCAGAATTGTAGTACAGATGACGTTGGGCTCCAGCTTCGCCTCCCACATCTCGCTCAGCAGCCCAAGTGCCCGCTGCCACTGCTCGCCCTTCTCGCACGCGCTGATCCCAGCGCTGTAGCTGATGACGTTGGGCTCCAGCTTCGCCTCCCACATCTCGCTCAGCAGCGCAAGTGCCCGCTGCCACTGCTCGCCCTTCTCGCACGCGCTGATCCCAGCGTTGTAGCTGACTAGGGCAGACCTGTGGACTCCGTCCACGACATCAGCTCGACGTGGCGAGGGGTCTCTGGGCAAGCGCGGGGGGGTGCGGCTGCAGGGCCGAAAGGCAATCGTCGATCCTACGACGACTCTCCCCAACAGAAACATCGAAGGCCCTCGGAGCGTCCAACATTGTTTTTTTGTGCCTTCGATATGCCGGTCGCCTCTCGTCCGCTCCCCCCCTCCCGGAAGCAATTCTGAAGCCACTTAGGGCTTCGTGGGGGCCATTTGGGGATCTCTTGGGGCGTTTTTGCCTGCGATATGCCTGTCGCCTCTCGTCCGCTCCCCCGCTCCTGGAGGGAATTCTGAAGCCACTGAAGGCTTCGTGGGAGCCGTTTCGGAGCCTCTTCGGCCTTCTTTTGGGCCTCCCGGGGGGGCTCTTAGGGCACTCGCGGGCCGTCTTGGGTGCCTCTTGGGCCGTCTTGGGGCCGTCTGAGGCCCGCCTCGGCGCCTCTTGGGCTGTCTTGGGCCGTCTTGGGCCGCTCCTGGGGCCGTCTTGGGTGCCTCTTGGGCCGTCTGGGGCGCCTCCTGGGCAGTCCTGGGGCCGTCCTGGGGCGTCTTGGGACCGTCTTGGGGCCCTCCTAGCCCGTCTTGGGGCTCTCTTGGGGTCCTCTTCGGCCGTCTTGGAGCGGTCGGGGGGACTTCTTGGGCCGTCTTGGAGCGTCGGGAAGCCGAAGAGGCGAGGAGGCCGAAAACATTGAAAAACACAATAGAAATCGACGATTTCTGTCGCTCGGGGCCCTCTTGGGAGGCCTCTTCGGGCGTCTTGGACGCCTCTTGGGCCGTCTGGGGCGAATCTCGGGCGTCTTGGGCCCATCTTTAAGCGTGCCGGGGCTCTCCTTCTGGGGGCCCTCTCGACATGTCCTGGAGCCTGCCTGGGCGGCCCGGGGCGGGCCGGGGCCAGCCTGGGGCGGTTTTGACTCATTGGAGCCTGCCCCCTTCTGGCACGCACTGGGCCCTGCAATGTAGTAGAGACTAGTGTGAACCCGTGGAAAATCCACGACCCGCAGGTCCAGGCGTTGGTCCCGAACTCGCAGGTGTCGCCGAAGCCTCAAGTGACCCCCAGCAGGGCCCAGCACAGCCGCAGATGCCGCCCACGGGAGCCCAACGCGAGGTCCGAGACGGCCTCACACCCCCAAGATTGCCCCAAGCCGCCCCACGAGGCGCCCGACCCAAGAGGGCGATCGTAAACGAGTAAGGCCAGGCGTGGAGGTCTCAAAAAGCATAGGGTTTTCGCCAATCGCGCCCGGCCTCTCCGCGATTAGCGAAAATCCGAAGGTTCTGGCCATTCCACTGCGCGAGAATTGGCCCCCACACGTACCCCAAGGCCTTGGACACCGCCCAAGACGATCTGAGTTTCCAGAGGTTTCGGCCCCCCAGGGCCCTGCATCGATACACCCAAGGGTGCGGGTGCTGGGATACGTAGGGCCCCCCAACCGGCTGTAGTGGCCTGCGGGCAATCTCACCGCGGGCCTGGGTAATGGGCAAGAGATCTCGTGGATGTTGGTTGGGATCTCGTGGTTGGCCTCTCGGGAGCCTCTGGGAGACAGTTTGGGGGCTTCTTGGTAGCAGTTTGGGGGCGTCTTGGGGCCTCTTGGGTCAGCCTTTTGGGGCGGTTGGCGGCTTCTGGGGGGCCTCTTGGAGCCTCTTTGGGGCGTCCGGAGGCCTCCTGGGGAAGTCTTGGGAGCGTCCCGGCGTTTCGTTGGGGCGTCTTGGGGCTTCCTGTGGGCCTCTTGGGGTGGAGGCCTCGATTTTTCGGTTCTGGGTCCCTGTCTTGGGCCTCTCTTGGGGCCTTCTTGGGGCCCTCTTGGGCCGTCTTAGGCGACTCTTGAGCCGTCTTGGGGCCCTCTTGGGCCGTCTCGGGGCCGTCTTGAAGGCCTCTTGGGCCGTCTTGGAACGGTCTTGGGGGCCTCTTGGGCGGTCTTGGAGCGTCGGAAAGCCGAAAAAGCGAGAGAAGGCCAGAAACATTGAAAAAACAATGAAAATCAACGATTTTGGCTGCTGCGGCCCCTCTTGGAGGTGCACTTCGAGCGCTCTGGGGGCCTCGTGGAGGCGTCTCGGGCCGTCTTGAAGGCGTCTTGAAGCCGTTTTAAGCGTCTCGGATACACTCTTGGACCGTCTTGGGCCGTCTTCAGGGCCTCCTGAGGCCGTCTTGGGGCGATCTGGGAATCCTGGATCAGTCCGCGAGCGGTCCGGGGGCCTCCCACGCCCGTCGGGCAGCGGCCCGGAGGCTCTCCGGGCGGCCCGCGAGCTCTTTGGGCGGCCCGGGGCGCTGCCACTGCTGGTACTTCTCGCGCGCGCTTCGCCCAGAATTGTAGTACAGATGACGTTGGGCTCCAGCTTCGCCTCCCACATCTCGCTCAGCAGCGCAAGTGCCCGCTGCCACTGCTCGCCCTTCTCGCACGCGCTGATCCCAGCGCTGTAGCTGACTAGGGCTGACCCGTGGACTTCGTCCACGACATCTTTCTGGAATGGTTCTCGGAGGAACGGCGCAGATTGTACAGAAAATCTACAAACACGGCGGCGGCTCGGGCGGCGGCAGCGAGACCGCGCCTTCGTGTCCAAGCTCTTGCAGCGCTCCAGCAGCTTGGCCCCAGCGCACTGCTCGTTCAACCCCCTCCTATTAAGGGCAGTTTCGACGTCTCTCGGGGATGTGCGTTGAAGTCGAAGCCCGTCTGAGGCGTCTCCGGACCGCCCGGGGAAGGGCTCGGGAGGCCATCGGGGAAAGCCACCGAAAGCGCCGGGGAGGCTCGCAAGGATCTACAAGGAGGGCCCAAGAGAGCTTCAAGAAAAAATGAAATCCAGTGAACTTTGGGCGCTCTTTGCAGATTTCGTGCATCTGCGCTGGACCGCCCTCCCTGGCGCGCGGAGCGCCCCAGTGGCGGCGCCTGAAGCGCCGCTGGGGGGTCCCATCGCGGATCCCAGAAATCCGCGCGGAGCGCCAAAGGTTTACGGTCACGCCGTTTTCCCTTCTTCGAGCTCCTGGGGCCGCTCCTGGGGCCGCTCTGGGAGGCCTGCCTGAGGCACTCTGCCCAGCCCTGCCCCTGGGGGCCCTCTCGGGGGGGGGGGGGGGGCCGAACTTTGGGGATGCTTCCGGGGGTGGCTCCGAGGGCCGTGCGCGATGTGCCCTGCCCGCGTGGGCAGCCCGCGGCAGGGCGGCTCGGGCCGCGCGAAGCACCGAAGCAGCGAGAGGTGGCCGCTGGTCTGCGCGGTCCCGGGGAGGGAGGCGAGACCTCTGGGGCAGGGCTGAACCTAAACGGTGTTTTTTTTCGTTGTTTTTGTTTTCGTTTTCCCTCGCCTTTGTCTCGAATCCGCCTTTACCTCAAAACGAAGTCGAAACGAAAACGGCCCACCCGGCCCACAAATCGCCCAAAACACCGTTTCGGTCCAGCCTTGCTCTGGGGGTCGGCGTCATGAAAAAGTTATGGCGCCAGAGGAGGAGGAGGAGGAGGAGGAGGAGGAGGAGGAGGAGGAGGAGGAGGAGGAGGAGGAGGAGGAACTCACGTAGCACATGAGGGCATGGTTACGTCCATCGACTGCGCAGATTGCCTAGCTTAGTGGCACGCGAAAGTCCTCAGGTGGGCCTCGAGGTCAGCCACAACGGGAAAGGGGCGAGTCCTCATGCTGCTCTTCTTTAGCTTGGTGGTAGGAAGTGAAAACCTAGCACGACAAAGCGATGAGTGTGGTCTCGCGTGTGGACCTTCTGTAGCATAATCAGCATCGAGGCCGTGGGGGGGGGGAGGCCGAGACGCGCCAGGTGGCACGAGGGGAAGAAAACCCTCGGACGGGGGGGCGAGGAAGAGTATTAGCGAGGGAGGAGAGGAGGAGGATGAGGGAGAGGAGGTGAGGAGGAAGGAGGAGGGATTAGTATGAGGAGGAGGAGGACGAGGAGGAGGAGGAGGAGGTCTTCGGTGCCTTCTGGGCCTTCTGGGGAGCCTTCGGTGCCTTCGGGGCAGGCCTTGGGCAGCCTCAAGGCGGGGGGGGGCTTCCGGGCCGTCCGAAGAGGCGTTTTCCCTCTCGTTTCCCCCCCTTTTTTCTGGCCATCGCTCGGACGTCCATTCCCTGTGTTTTTTTTTGGGGGGGGATTTCGTGCGTAGTTTCTTCTCCAAATGATCAAGGATGCTCCTCGATGGACCTCGCCGTGGGAAAAACGCGCACACGTCTGAGCGATTCCAAGTCGCTCGCCACCGGGGGGAGGCGCCCAGGGAGCGCGCGGGGCGGCGGCGGGCGGAACCACTGGGCCGCAGCAGTCGGCTACGCGTTAAGAGGGCCTCCTCCTCCTCTTCCTCCTCCTCTTCCTCCGCCTCCTCCTTCTTTCATCTCCTCCTCCTCCTCCTCCTCCGCCTCCTCCTTCTTTCATTTCCTCCTCCTCCTCCTCCTCCTCCTCCTCCTCCTCCTCCTCCTCCGCCCTCCTCCTCCTCCTCCTCCTTTTTCGCGCCGGCGTGGCCTTTCCCTGAGATCCTGGCGCCCCGATCTGTTCGAGCCGAGCGTCGTCGCCCTTTGTCGGGCCCCGGGGCCCGCGCAGATCGATCCGGCTCGAACCATGGCGCGGAAAGATGGCGCCTAGGGCTCTGGGCGTGATTTTGTTACGATGATTCCATCCTTTCGCTGCGCCGGATCTCAGGGTGTAAAACACAAGGTATACGGGTCTTCGCCCGAAACGTAGCAAGCGATAGCGGCACACGCGCGCAGCCAGCGCCAGACGCAACGCAAGCAAAGACAAACGACGCCGCGCGCGCTAAAATATACGGGCCTTCCGCCCGCAAGCGAGCGCAAACATAAATATGGCACTGGACGTCTCTCGCTCGCGAGCCTGCCCCCGATCACGTCCACTATGTACACGCTGCGCGGTGCGCGGTGGCTGCGCCGAACATGGATCACATCATGGCCATGCTCATGCTCCCGATGTGGCTGGCCTCGCGTGGAGCCCTCCTCGGCTCTCCCTCGGAGCCCCCAGAGGGGGCCTCTCGGCGAGCCTGCTCGGGTGCGCGAGCGGCCATCTCGACGAGCGGCGCTCGCAGGGCGACGTTGACGACGCAGGTCACCCAAAGCTGCGCGCTCGCGCCAGCGTTGGGTGACCTGCGTGTGTAGATCACTCCTGGACAACATGCCGCTGCGCATACCTCATCGAGGCAGCTCGCCTGGGGATTGTTTGTGGCTGGGTTGGTGGGGCACGGTGCGTGAGTATGTGTGTGTGTGTGGAAACGTAGTCATTTGGCGTCCCCGCATTCTTCCGGATTCTGTGGGGACGTTTGCTCCTGTGCTGCGTGCCTTCGAATTGGTCGACTGGCTGCGAGTATCGTCCTGGGAGCCGCATATTCTTGATCAGGGCAACTCACCTGGCGCTTGTTTGTGGCTGGGCTGGTGGGGTACGCGAAGCGTGTACATGTCTGATTCGGAGCTTGTCTCCAGGCCCTTTCTGAAAACGGCCGCTGACGCATCCGAGACGGCCCCTTCGGAAAGACCCCCAGAATAAGGTCGCCTCGGAGCCTCCGGTGACTTTTCCCGGGCCCGCCATTTCAGAGTTTGGCGAAGAACTGAAAACGAACGTAGGAACACTGTCGACATCGTGACTGTGTGGCGAAGGTCGCTGGCGTCTGTGGAGGAGAGAAAGCGCTCCGCGGGCAGGCCTGCGTGCGGTGAGGCACGTGTCGACGCAGTTCGCGTCCTTGACCACGATGGCCAGTTGAAGGCGCTCTCCACACCCTCCAAGACCTCCTGCTCTCCTGTGTTCCCCAACTGCTGCTGCTGCTCGGAGGTCCTGCTGTTTACTCCCCCTCCTCCTCCTCCTCCTCCGCCTCCTCCTCCTCCTCCTCCTCCTCCTCCTCGTCCTCCTCCTCTTCCACCTTCTGTTCCTCTTTCGCTGGATTCTCCATGCCTTCGGTCGGCAATCGTCGATCCTACGACGACTCTCCCCAACAGAGAAACATCGAAAGCCCTCGGAGCGTCCAACATTGTTCTTTTGTGCCTTCGATGTGCCGGTCGCCTCTCGTCCGCCCCGCCCCTCCTGGAAGCAATTCTGAGGCCACTTAGGGTTTCGCGGGGGCCGTTTGGGGATCTCTTGGGGCGTTTTTGCCTGCGATATGCCTGTCGCCTCTCGTCCGCTCCCCCGTTCCTGGAGGGAATTCTGAAGCCACTGAAGGCTTCGTGGGGGCCGTTTCGGAGCCTCTTCGGCCTTCTTTTGGGCCTCCCGGGGGGGCTCTTATGGCCCTCTCGGGCCGTTTTGGGTGCCTCTTGGGCCGTCCTGGGGCCGTCTGAAACCCGCCTCGGCGCCTCTTGGGCTGTTTTGGGCCGTCTTGGGCCGCTCCTGGGGCCGTCTTGGGTGCCTCTTGGGCCGTTTTGGGCGCCTCCTGGGCCGTCCTGGGGCCGTCCTGGGGCGTCTCGGGACCGTCTTGGGGCCCTCCTGGCCCGTCTTGGGGCTTTCTTGGGGTCCTCTTCGGCCGTCTTGGAGCGGTCGGGGGGACTTTTTGGGCCGTTTTGGAGCGTCGGGAAACCGAAGAGGCGAGGAGGCCGAAAACATCGAAAAACACAATAGAAATCGACGATTTCTGTCGCTCGGGGCCCTCTTGGGAGGCCTCTTCGGGCGTCTTGGACGCCTCTTGGGCCGTCTGGGGCGAATCTCGGGCGTCTCGGGTCCATCTTTAAGCGTGCCGGGGCTCTCCGAGGCCGTCTTGGGGGCTTCTGGGGGCCCTCTCGACATGTCCTGGAGCCTGCCTGGGCGGCCCGGGGCGGCCCGGGGCCAGCCCGGGGCGGTTTGGAGCCTGCGCCCTTCTGGCACGCACTGGGCCCTGCAATGTAGTAGAGACTAAGGCTGACCCGCGGCCTTCCGGCAGCGGAATCTGCCCGCCATGGCGCGCACGTGGAAGTGGAGTATCTCTGGGGCCTCGCGGGTAAGTGGAGGGTGGAGGGGATGGCGTGGGATGAGGAGGTGGCCGCTGGCTGGAGGTGGAGGCGAGCGAGGGATGCAGGCAAGCAGGCATGAAGGCAGGAACGCGGTGGTGGAGGCGGTGCCAGTGGAAGCACACCCATGTAGGCATGACATAGTGTGGACAGAAGCGGTTTCTGACGCCGCAGTCTGTGTTCATCATTATTTCTGCGGGGAGGGTAGCCGTGAGAAGTTATCTTCTCTTCGACGGGGTCGAGTGATAATTGTATATGGTAGTCTGGTGACAATGGGGCCAGCGGGCGCGGCCTAGGACATCCGCCACCGTGCCTGTGCCTGGGTAGTGGCTCAGAGGCCTCTGGGGCCCCTCTTCGAGGCAGCTTTGGGATCTCTTGGGGGCCGTCTTGGGGCCTCGTGGGGCTTGCTTTGGGTTTCTTGGGGGCCTCTGGGGACCTCTTGGCTTTCCCTTGGGGGGGGGGTGGGGGCCTTGTGTGGGCGTATGGGGCCCAGGGCTCGGAATGTCAGGGTGTTTCCTCGTTCTTTGGCCCCCTCTTGGGCCTGGTTTGGGGTCCTGTGGGGCCGTCTTGGGCGCCTCTTGGGCCATCTTGGGTCCCCTGTGGGAGCCTCTTGGGCCGTCTTGGGGCGGTGTTGGGGGCCTCTTGCGCCGTCGTCTACGCCATGAAACCCGGAAAGCCGGAGATGCTGACATGTGTACGGCTTCCGTCGGGAAAGCGGTAATTGTGGCCTCCTGGGGCCCTCCTGGGAAGCCTCCGGCGTCTCTTGGGCCGTCTTGGCGCCGCAAGAGGCAATCTTGGCTTGTCGTGGAGCGCTGTTGGAGCGGCTTGGGGATACCTTGGGCCGTCCTGGGAGACTCTTGGTGTCGCCCTGGGGCCGTTTGGGGCGCCTCTTGGGCTCTCTTGACGCTCTCTCGGGCCGGTTGTCGTGCGTCTTGGGGGCCTCTTGGGCCGTCTTGGGGCGGTCGTGGGGACCTGGAACCAGCTTCTGCGCCATATTCCCGACAAGCAGCGCATGCTAGAAGTCAGGTTCTTTCTTCGGGAACGCAATGATTTTCGCCTCTGGGGGCCATCCTTGGACGCCTGTTGGGCGTCTCTGGGGCCGTCGTGGAGGCCTCCTGGGCCGGCTTGGGTTTGTTTTCGGCGGTCTTGGGCTCTCTTGGAGCGCTCTTGGGCCGTCTTGGGGGTGTGTGGGGCCGTCCTGGGCGCCTCCTGGGAACCTCTTGGGGCCGCCTGGGGGCCGTGTTGGGCGCCTCTTGGGTCTCTTGACGCTCTCGCGGGCCGGTTTTCGTGCCTATGGGGGGCCTTTTGGGCCGTCTTGGGGCGGTCGTGGGGGCCTCTTGTCCCATCTTCTGCGCCATACTCCCGACAAGCAGTGCGTGCTAAAATTGGACGTTCTTCGTTGGAGAAACAATGATTTGGGCCTGTGGGGGCCATCCTGGGACGCCTCTTGAGCGTCTCTGGGGCCGTAACGGAGGCCTCCTGAGCCTTGTCGGGGCCGTTGTCGGCGGTCTTGAGCTCTCTTGGAGCGCTCTTGGGCCGTTTTGGGGGTGTCTGGGGCCGTCCTGGGCGCCTCCTGGGCCGCGTGAGCGCCTCTGGGGCGTCCCCGGAGCCGTTGTGGGGTATTTTCATTCGATCAAGACAGGGACCCTTCCCGCACGCACGGGTCCCTGCATTGTAGGAAAGATGACGTCGGGCTCCAGCTTCGCCTCCCGCATCTCGCTCAGCAGCGCAAGTGCCCGCTGCCACTGCTCGCCCTTCTCGCACGCGCTGATCCCAGCGCTGTAGCTGATGACGTTGGGCTCCAGCTTCGCCTCCCGCATCTCTCTCAGCAGCGCAAGTGCCCGCTGCCACTGCTCGCCCTTCTCGCACGCGCTGATCCCAGCGCTGTAGCTGATGACGTTGGCCTCCAGCTTCGCCTCCCACATTTCGCTCAGCAGCGCAAGTGCCCGCTGCCACTGTTCGCCCTTCTCGCACGCGCTGATCCCAGCGCTGTAGCTGATGACGTTGGGCTCCAGCTTCGCCTCCCGCATCTCGCTCAGCAGCGCAAGTGCCCGCTGCCACTGCTCGCCCTTCTCGCACGCACTGATCCCAGCGCTGTAACTGATGACGTTGGGTTCCAGCTTCGCCTCCCGCATCTCGTTCAGCAGCGCAAGTGCCCGCTGCCACTGCTCGCCCTTCTCGCACGCGCTGACCCCAGCGTTGTAGTTGATGACGTTGGGTTCCAGCTTCGCCTCCCGCATCTCGCTCAGCAGCGCAAGTGCCCGCTGCCACTGCTCGCCCTTCTCGCACGCGCTGATCCCAGCGTTGTAGCTGATGACGTTGGGCTCCAGCTTCGCGCCCCACATCTCGCTCAGCAGCGCAAGTGCCCGCTGCCACTGCTCGCCCTTCTCGCACGCGCTGATCCCAGCGCTGTAGCTGATGACGTCGGGCTCCAGCTTCGCCTCCCGCATCTCGCTCAGCAGCGCAAGTGCCCGCTGCCACTGCTTGCCCTTCTCGCACGCGCTGATCCCAGCGCTGTAGCTGATGACGTTGGGCTCCAGCTTCGCCTCCCGCATCTCGCTCAGCAGCTCAACTGCCCGCTGCCACTGCCCGCCCTTCTCGCACGCGCTGATCCCAGCGTTGTAGCTGACTAGGGCAGACCTGTGGACTCCGTCCACGACATCAGCTCGACGTGGCGAGGGGTCTCTGGGCAAGCGCGGGGGGGTGCGGCTGCAGGGCCGAAAGGCAATCATGATGCCTGTCGCCTCTCGTCCGCTCCCCCGCTCCTGGAGGGAATTCTGAAGCCACTGAAGGCTTCGTGGGGGCCGTTTCGGAGCCCCTTCGTCCTCGTTCTTTTGGGCCTCCCGGGGGGCTCTTAGGGCCCTCTCGGGCCGTCTTGGGTGCCTCTTGGGCCGTCTTGGGGCCGTCTGAGACCCGCCTCGGCGCCCCTTGGGCTGTCTGGGCCGTCTTGGGCCGCTCCTGGGGCCGTCTTGGGTGCCTCTTGGGCCGTCTTGGGCGCCTCCTGGGCCGTCCTGGGGCCGTCCTGGGGCGTCTTGGGACCGTCTTGGGGCCCTCCTGGCCCGTCTTGGGGCTCTCTTGGGGTCCTCTTCGGCCGTCTTGGAGCGGTCGGGGGGACTTCTTGGGCCGTCTTGGAGCGTCGGGAAGCCGAAGAGGCGAGGAGGCCGAAAACATAGAAAAAACATATAGAAATCGACGATTTCTGTCGCTCGGGGCCCTCTTGGGAGGCCTCTTGGGAGGCCTCTTCGGGCGTCTTGGACGCCTCTTGGGCCGTCTGGGGCGAATCTCGGGCGTCTTGGGCCCATCTTTAAGCGTGCCGGGGCCGTCTTGGGGGCTTCTGGGGGCCCTCTCGACATGTCTTGGAGCCTGCCTGGGCGGCCCAGGGCGGCCCGGGGCCAGCCCGGGGCGGTTTTGACCCATTGGAACCTGCTCCTGGGGCCGTCTTGGGCGCCTGTTGGGCCGTCTTGGGCGCCTCCTGGGCCGTCCTGGGGCCGTCTCGGGCCGCTCTTGGGACCGGCATGGGGCCCGCTTGGCCCGTCTTGGGCTCTATTGGGGGCCTCTTCGGCCGTCTTGGAGCGGTATTGGGGACCTCTTGGGCCGTCTTGGAGCGTCGGGAGGCCGAAAAGGCGAGAAGGCCGAAACCATCGGAAAACACAATGGAAATCGACGTTTTTTGCCTATCGGGGCCCTCTTGGGAGGCCTCTTGGGAGGCCTCTGGGGGCGTCTTGGAAGCCTGTGGAGCCGTCTTGGGCCAATCTCGGGCGTCTTGGGCCCATCTTGGGGCGTGCCAGGGCCCTCCGAGGCCGTCTTGGGGGATTTTTGGGGCCCTCTTGGCGTGTCTTGGGGGATTTTTGGGGCCCTCTTGACGTGTCTTGGGGCCTCCCTGGGCGGCCCGGGGCCAGCCCGGGGCGGTTTCGGTGCATTGGGGCCTGCGCCCTTCTGGCACGCACTGGGCCCTGCAATGTAGTAGAGATGACGTTGGGCTCCAGCTTCGCCCCGCACATCTCGCTCAGAAGCGCAAGTGCTCGCTGCCACTGCCCGCCCTTCTCGCACGCGCTGATCCCAGCGTTGTAGCTGACTAGGGCAGACCTGTGGACTCCGTCCACGACATCAGCTCGAAGTGGCGAGGGGTCTCTGGGCAAGCGCGGGGGGGTGCGGCTGCAGGGCCGAAAGGCAATCATTGTTCTTGTGTGCCTTCGATATGCCGGTCGCCTCTCGTCCGCTCCCCCCCTCCTGGAAGCAATTCTGAGGCCACTTAGGGCTTCGTGGGGGCCGTTTGGGGATCTCTTGGGGCGTTTTTGCCTGCGATATGCCTGTCGCCTCTCGTCCGCTCCCCCGCTCCTGGAGGAAATTCTGAAGCCACTGAAGGCTTCGTGGGGGCCGTTTCGGAGCCTCTTCGGCCTTCTTTTGGGCCTCCCGGGGGGGCTCTTAGGGCCCTCTCGGGCCGTCTTGGGTGCCTCTTGGGCCGTCTTGGGGCCGTCTGAGGCCCGCCTTGGCGCCTGTTGGGCTGTCTTGGGCCGTCTTGGGCCGCTCCTGGGGCCGTCTTGGGTGCCTCTTGGGCTGTCTTGGGCGCCTCCTGGGCCGTCCTGGGGCCGTCCTGGGGCGTCTTGGGACCGTCTTGGGGCCCTCCTGGCCCGTCTTGGGGCTCTCTTGGGGTCCTCTTCGGCCGTCTTGGAGCAGTCGGGGGGACTTCTTGGGCCGTCTTGGAGCGTCGGGAAGCCGAAGAGGCGAGGAGGCCGAAAACATCGAAAAACACAACAGAAATCGACGATTTCTGTCGCTCGGGGCCCTCTTGGGAGGCCTCTTGGGAGGCCTCTTCGGGCGTCTTGGACGCCTCTTGGGCCGTCTGGGGCGAATCTCGGGCGTCTTGGGCCCATCTTTAAGCGTGCCGGGGCTCTCCGGGGCCGTCTTGGGGGCTTCGGGGGGCCCTCTCGACATGTCCTGGAGCCTGCCTGGGCGGCCTGGGGCGGCCCGGGGCCAGCCCGGGGCGGTTTCGGTGCATTGGGGCCTGCGCCCTTCTGGCACGCACTGGGCCCTGCAATGTAGTAGAGACTAGGGCTGACCCGCGGCCTTCCGGCCGCGGAATCTGCCCGCCATGGCGTGTACGTGGAAGTGGAGCGTCTCGGGGGCCTCGCGGGGGGGGAGGTTGGAGGAGACGGCATGGATGGAGGATGTGGCCGCTGGAGGGCGATGTAGGCGAGGGATGCAGGCAGGCAGGCCTGAAGGCAGGAACGCGATGGTGGAGGCGGTATCAATGGACGCACAACCATGCACGACATGATGTAGCTGTTTCTCACGCCGCGCTCTGTGTTCGTAATAGTTTTTGCGGGGCGGGTCGCCGTGATAATTGTATCTGCTCTTCGCCAGGGCCGAATGCTAATTTTATCTGGTAGTGCGGTGAGAATGGGACTGGCGGGCGCGGCCTAAGAGGCCCGCAAGAAGGCGCCGAGACGGCCCAAGAAATCTCCGGGACGGGCCAAGAGGCTTCCTAGACGGCCCAAGAGGGCCCCACGAACTCCCTGAGACGGGCCTCAATGCGAGGACACGAAGCGACCGTTCGAGCGACCGTTCGAGCGCACCGCCCACAAAAAGCCTAGAGATGGCTCCCAGAGGGTCCAAAAAGTCCCCAAGACGACGCTGGAAGTTCGACGCTCCTCAACAGGAAGCATTCAAGGCCTCTTGGGGGCCGTTTGGGGGCCGTTTTTCGTCCTCCTGGGGGTCTCTCGGGGCCCTCTTGGGCTATCTGGAGTGCCTCTTGCGCCGTCTTGGGGCCATGACGGGCTGTCTTGGGCGCCTATGGGGCCATCTTGGGGCCGTCTTGGGGCCATCTTGGGCCTTTATTGGGCGCTCTTCGGGTTGTCTTGGGTGCCTCTTAAGCCGTCTCGGGCGCCTCTGGAGCCCTCCCGGGGCACTCGGGCCGTTTGGGGGCCCTCCTCGGGGCGTTTTGGGGCGCTCTTGGGGCCTTGTGTGGGCGTATGGGGGCCCAGGGCTCGGAATGCCATGGTTTTTCCCTGTTCTTTGGCCCCCTCTTGGGCCTGGCTTGGGCCTCTTGGGCCATCTTGGGGCTCACTGGGCCGTCAGGGGACGCGCTTGGAGGCCTGTTGGGCCGTCCTGGGGCGGTCTTGTGGGTCTCTGCGGCCGTCTTGGGGCGACGGCTAGCCGAGAAGGCGAGAAGGCAAAACTCCTTCAAACACAATTGAAAAATTAAGGATTTTGGCCTCTGGGGGCATGCTTCGGAGGACTGTGGAAGGCTCTTGGAAGCCTCTTGGGCCTTGTTGGGGGCCTCTTGGGCGCTCCTTGGAGCCTCTTATGGCCACTTCGGCGCGTCTTTGGGCGGAGGGCTCGATCTGTGACGCTCGGGGGCCAGGGTCTCCGTGAGGGGTGCCGAAAAAATTGGATACCTTGGGCCGTCCTGGGAGCCTGTTGGTGTCGCCATGGGGCCGTTGTGGGCGCCTCTTGGGCTATTTTGACGCCCTCTCGGGCCGGTTTTCGTGCGTCTTGGGGGCCTCCTGGGCCGTCTTGGGGCGGTCGTGGGGACCTTGAACCAGCTCCTGCGCCATATTCCCGACAAGCAGCGCATGCTAAAATTGAACGTTTTTCTTTGGGAAAACACTGATTTTCGCCTCTTGGGGCCATCCTTGGACGCCTCTTGGGCGTCTCTGGGGCCGTCGTGGGGGCCTCCTGGGCTGTCTTGGGTTTGTTTTCGGCGGTCTTGGGCTCTCTTGGAGCGCTCTTGGGCCGTCTTGGGGGTGTGTGGGGCCGTCCTGGGCGCCTCCTGCGAGCCTCTTGGGGCCGCCTGGGGGCCGTGTTGGGCGCCTCTTGGGTCTCTTGACGCTCTCTCGGGCCGGATTTAATGCCTCTGGAGGGCCTCTTGGGCCGTCTTGGGGCGGTCGCGGGGACCTCTTGTCCCAGCTTCTGCGCCATATACCCGACAAGCAGTGCATGCTAAAATTGGAAGCTTTTCCTTGGAAAAACAATGATTTGGGCCTGTGGGGGCCATCCTGGGACGCCTCTTGGGCGTCTCTGGGGTCGGAGGCCTCCTGGGCCTTGTCGGGGCCGTTGTCGGCGGTCTTGAGCTCTGTTGGAGCGCTCTTGGGCCGTTTTGGGGGTGTCTGGGGCCGTCCTGGGCGCCTCTTGGGCCGCGTGAGCGCCTCTGGGGCGTCCCCGGAGCCTTTGTGGGGTATTTTAAGTCGATCAAGACAGGGTACCTTGGGCCGTCCTGGGAGCCTCTTGGTGTCGCCCTGGGGCTGTTTTGGGCGCCTCTTGGGTTCTCTTGACGCCCTCTCGGGCCGGTTTTCGTGCGTCTTGGGGGCCTCCTGGGCCGTCTTGGGGCGGTCGTGGGGACCTCGAGCCAGCTTCTGCGCCATACTCCCGACAAGCAGTGTGTGCTAAAATTGGACGTTCTTCGTTGGATAAACAATGATTTGGGCCTGTGGGGGCCATCCTGGGACGCCTGTTGGGCGTCTCTGGGGCAGTCGTGGAGGCCTCCTGGGCCTTGTCGGGGCCGTTGTCGGCGGTCTTGAGCTCTCTTGGAGCGCTCTTGGGCCGTTTTGGGGGTGTCTGG